AAAAAAAAAACTATTGTTGTGTTGTGAGAATAAGCTCATTTTTGCTGCTTCATGTTTTCAGCTTTTTTTCATCCAAAACTGTGAAAATAAGCTGTTTTAAAGTGTTTACCAAACACCATTTTGAGCTTAGCTTTTTTTTATACCCACTTTTTATAAAAGCACCTCAGTACCAAACCAGTACTAAGCCTTTTAATTAAATCTCTTTTATTAGGAATTGGATACCTTATCCTTTCCAAGACTTCATTAAGAGGCTTGTAATTAATGACTAACCTGTGAGTTCCTCTTTCTAATTCAACGTTCTTTCGGACGTAGAAAGCAAGACAAGACCAAGGCGATTTACTTTCGTAATGATTCCTTTATTGAGAAGTTCTTGAATTTCTGTTTTGCAGAATTCCATAACTTCTTGACTCATTTGGATTGGTCTGGCTTTTGTTGGTATTTTCTTTTCATTAAATTCCTTATTGTAAGGAAGTTTAACAATATGTTGTTTTCTGTGCCAAAAGTCGTCGGGAATATCCGAACAAATTTCATTAACAAGTTTCTTTTGAAAGTTGTCAATGCTTTGTAACAAAGATTTGTTTGTTAATTGTTCTTCAATTCTTTTGTAATTAATTTCTTCTTTTAAGAAATTAATTTGTTGTGATTTTTTGGTAACTAGATTGATGGTTTTGAGATGCTATCTTTTTGTAATTGTCTTAATTTTTTGAGATCTGTTTCCGTGCAGATCTCAAATGTGATTTTTTGTCCTAACATTCTGGTAGTTATACAATTATGGTGTACCTTAAAAGGATATAGGAGAGTTATGAAGGGGAGACCTAAAATGATTGGGTCGGAAATGTTTTTTTTATCAAAACAAATGGAGTTTTAAAACAAACATTGTTTTGACAAACATGAGCTTTTGGGATTTCATATTTTAACTGCATTGGTGACTAATTTACAGCACTAAGAATTTCTGTTGATTTATGGAAATACTTAGTAGGAATTAAACCTTCTTGAATACAATTCAAGTCTGTGCCTGAGTCAATTAAGGCAATTGTTTCTAACTGGAAATCTTCAATTATTATTTTTATTTTAGAACACCATTTTTGAATCCTAATTTTTTTTTTTTTTTTTGTAGTAATCCTAAAACTAGGTTTTCTGTTGGATTTTCTATGGATTTGGATTCTGACCCTTGGTCGGAGGAAGAACTATTGTGTTCTTCATCATTATTGCCAATGAGTGCTTGTGTTTGGATACTACTGAGATGTGAGTGAATTTCTATGTTTTCTGATTTTAAGGACTTAATTTCTTCCTTAATTTTGTTATCTTCTCTTTGTAGATCTTTGACCGTAATTTCTTTCTTAGCTTTATTAAATCTTTCCAGGGTTGCGTTAAGACAGATGTTTGGGGCCACTTGGGGTTGACTAGTATTGGCTTCTTCAAGGGAGACTAACTTCTTAAGTTTCTTTAAATAAAATGACTTTAGTTCAGAGTCATCTACTTTGCTGATTAACTCGATAAGAAGATTTTCTTGTTCTTCTTGTTTATTGAGGACTGAAATCTTTTTACAACAAGTATCAGTGTATCCTATTTTAATGTCGGGGGATGAAAGACTACTTGAGGAATTCTTGGAAGAGGACGAATTAGAACTTAAATCATCTTCGGATTGATATGGTCTGTGTCTCTTAATTCTAAGACCTGGATTAGCTGGGTTTTCTCTTCCTCAGAGATTTTTGACTGGTTGATTGTTTTCTTGACTCTAAATTTATTTGCATAATGACCGAATTTGCCACACTTGTAGCAATTTCCCTTTTGTTCTTGGTTCTTGGAGTGAAATTTTCTTCTCATAAAATTTATTTGTTTCAAAATTCTTATTTTTGAATTTGTTATATTTGGGATGTCTCTTATTGGAGTACCTATTTGGGTACCTATTGTAGGCTTCAGATTTTTTCCTTTTGTTGGATGGAGCAATAGGAGGTAATCCATATTGTTCACAAAATGTTCCTAATTTGTATTTGGCTATTGACTTGTCTTTGTTGACTTGTTCGGTAATTTTCATATCAATACACATTTTCAATTCTTCTTTATGGATAATATTAATAATATTTCCATAAGTAAGGGTATGATATGGTATGATACCTTCTTCATTAACTAAAACATTTCTAATTTTATGGGCAAATAGATTTGGTAATCCATTAATGAATTTTTCTTTCCAAAATTGTTGATTACTATCCTCTCTAAGCATGACTCTAGACATGAAAGCATCTTTGTACCATCTAAAACCGCTTAGGGTTGGACATCTTAAGTTACTAAGTTGGTCATGAATTTTGGAGGTGACATTATTGAGTGTCCTTATGAAATGTTCTATAATGGTAAAAAGTAATGTGTTGCATCTGGGACTCCTCGTCCTATATGCTCATCAAAGATGGGTGTTCCATCTTCGTCTCTTTTGACTGCATTGTTAATTTCATTTCTTGATTGTTGAGTGAGATGTTTTTCCCACTAGGAATGAAGCATTCCTATAAATATAGTGACCAAAAGATCGACAACTTGTGTTTCACTGAGGTTATGATTGGTAATATAACTATTAGCAACAATGGAGATGTGTTGTAATTTATTCAAAAGTTCTTGTTTTGATATTCTATCTATGTTCCATTCATAGAGTTTATCAGTTGAGACTGAGAATTGGTTTTGGATGTTTCTTTCCTCAAATTGAATATCCGAAGGTGTTGGCCTTAGATACCAATTTTTGGCAAGAATTGTTGGGTTGACTCTTTTTTTTTGTGATTTATTTTAGTTCAACATTTTGAAAAGCTTCTTCTACGTTTCTGATGGAATTTGTTTCATTTTCTCCTTCTAAATCCCATGTCAAAAGTTGTTTCTGGTTGAGATTTATCCGGATGTTGTAAAACATTGACTGTTTTTTCTTGTTTTAATTCTTGTAACATTTGATCTATTTTTTGATTTATGGAAATTGTTTTTAAAGCTATTGTGCTAGAGGAAGACTCTGGGAAGTTGACTAAGGGTTTTTCCCTAATTGTTGGTTTTGGTTGAGAAAGTCTATCTATTTTGGTTTCTATTTTGTCTAATTGTTTTCCTATGGTGTGTAGACTCTAGTTTGTGAAATTGTTTTGGTCGATGACTGGCTTGACTCCTGCATTTTCTTTTGGAAGTTTGAAAGGAGTGGTTGGTACTTGTGTGTTTGCAGTTGTAATTAAAATTGTTTTTTGTGGAGGTGGCTAGAAGAGACTATGGTTTTGTCTTCTTTAATCCAATTTTGATGATGACTTCTAAATTCTTTTCAGACTCGTAATATTTTTCAATGAAATCGAAGAAAAATACTTCAAATTTGTGCTTTTTCATGAAATTGGTCCATTTAGCATAAATGTCCAATTTTTGTTCTTTTGTATATTTATTTCGAAAAATATTCCTTCTAGGAATATTTTCTATTGCTTCGATGTCAGCATTGAGTTTCTTCCATCGAATTTTGAATGGTTTGTTCGGTATGAGTAATTGGTGGTTAATTTGACTTGCTTCGAACTCAAATTTTGTTGGAAAGGTTTGTTCTCTTGGTTTTGATGTTAGGTTGGTATCGTGGGTGAGTTACCTGAGAGGTTGTTTCTAACGATTTTAATTTTATGTTGATCAAGTCATTAATTAATTCTTGTTGGATGACTGCTGAGCTAGTTTCTACTGCTTTTAATTTTCTATTAACTAAGGAATTGATTAAATCTTGATCTCGACCCACCATATCGGCTGATGTCGATCCAGAAAAAGAATTCCTACTTGGTTTTAAAGATTTGTGTGATTGGGCTAACTCGTGTAAGTGGACACTAGATTTTCTGGCTGGACGGTCAAAGTTGATTTTAACTATCCTGTCAAAATATTGTTCTATGTTGTCTAGGTTGACTAAACTATTTTGGATACTAACTGGCATACTTTCATTAATCAAACACCAGTCTGAAGGCAAACTGCTATATGACCACCTAATGGTTTTGGGTATTTTGATGTTAGCGTTTTCTTGATTAGTTTGGATTAGGAGTGTATGGTCTCTAGGACTTTTAACTAAGGCTTCGAAATTCATGTTTGTTCCTATGACTTTATAGTAGACTCTGAAAATTAAAGCTAATGGTTGGACTCCTTCAAGGACTTGGCACCCTGAAGTTTTTATGTTTAATGTGAGTACTTTCAGCATCTGGGGGTCTGAAAGATTTATTGTGAGATTTGGCAAACAATCAAAATGAATTGGTCCATGGTAAAGATTTGATTTAATCATTCCAAAAATGCTATCATTAAGGTTAGTGAATCTTGCATCTCGGAGACATAACAAAACAGAGGTATTGAGGCCCCTTCTTGTTAAGGGCTTGACTGGTATTTGGACTAGACCTATGTGAATGTAATTGTAACCATCTTTTCTATGAATTTTGATTTGTTCTGGTGTGAATAATTGACAAGTTTCATGTTTTTTATTAAGAGCATACGCTTTTTCAACTTTTTTGACGTGGTGTCACTTCTAAAAGAGGCTACTGACCATTTCTTTTTGTAAATGTTTTTACTAGAAACCTTGGGGTATTCCAATCGCCAAAGTCGACATTGTCATCTGTTTGAAATTCTAATTTTTGTTCTTCATTTACTATGTCTGGAATCCTACTTAACTGGATCTGGAGCTAGTGCTGGCAGTTGAATTAGATCTAAATAATCTACTCATATTGTTCAAAATGCAAGTTTTCAATATGCAGAAAATCTTACTGGCTTTACCTTTCTCGCGTATTTGCTAAACTCCCTCTCCACTCATGCGATCGGCTCATGCCAATCTTATGGACTTCTTGTTTGGAACACGCCTTACTGTTTGGGTTGAGAGTACAATCCTACGTAGAAGGTTAACAAATAAGATAAGCTGTAAATGAAAACTGAACAATGAATAAATGTAGTGACTAAAAAGATAATAATTGTCCTCATCGTTATAATTGTCCTAATCATTATTAACAATTCATATATATATATATGGTGATCTCTGCTCTCACAAATTAATGCTCATATTGGCACTAAGTCCTATTCCTAGTTTTAAGCACAAGGCAATCAGACAGAGGTGAAAAGATCACTAGCTACAAGCTTTGTTTCCCGCATTCATGGCTTCCTCTGGTGCGAATTCATCAGGTCAGTGCTCTACAATGTTTTCATAGGCTTAAGCTTTTGTTATTTGGCTGTGATATTAGTAACTTGATAGATCATGTGGTGTTAAAGTTTACATGTGGTATCAGAGCCATAGATTTAAGTTCTTAAATTCAATCGACAAAATCTATTGAATAAAATAAAAATTAAAAGAAAAAAAAAAAAAAAAAAAAGACAACTTCAGTTGTCAGGTTTCGAGACGGGGTTCTAGTTACTTGAAATAAATCTGGGATTACACAACACGGTGCATTTGAATAAAAAAAAAAAAAAAAAAAGGTTATTCAAAATTTTTTGACCATTAGAACTCGAAAGCCTGCATTTTGTTTGGGTTTTTCTGGGATTTAGGAAATTGAATATCATATCTTTGTTCACTCTTCCTTGTTCTCTCTTCTTTGCAATTTTGTGCCTGGTCATTCTGGCTATTGAATATATCTGCTTTTTCCTTCCGCTGCGTGATGTTTGATTTTTCATTCATCAGGATATGTATTCTGAAACCCAGACAATTAACATGAAATCCGAGTTTAGTTTCGCTTTAAATTTGCGTAAGTTTGATTAGAATTATATAACAAAACCTATCGTTAATTTTGATTCAAACTAATTCATCAGTGGGCAAATGAATTGATCACCTATAAAGGATATATTCAGTTTTAATTTTCATTGAATAAGGTATTCAGTTCCTCAATTGATGTTTATATTTAACTTTTGACTATTTCGTATGAGGTGAATACCTTCTTGTGAATGAGATGAATTATTCTAGGATTAAATGCTATGCTTGCTTAAGTTTTCAATAAAACCGTTCATCCTACATGTGCTTATCAACTAAATTGTGTTGAGATTATATATATGGATAATAGTTGTGATGTCTTGATGTGCAATAGACTGAGGAATGAACACAGGACTCTAAAGTTTATATTGTGATTTGTATGTTCATTAGTGTCTGCAATATCGATGAAGACCTTAAACTTGGCAAACATTCCAATCCTCACTGGTGGAAGCAACTACAAAAAATGGAGAAGAGATATCAATTTGATGTGGACTCTTAATGAGTTTGATATAGTAATTGATAATCCCAAGCCTATTGTCACTGATCAAAGCACTTCCAAGCCTATTGTCACTGATCAAAGCACCAGGGCTGAGAAATCAGATCATGAAAGATATACAAGGGCTGGTAAAGTGGAACTTTCCATCTTGGAAAGTGGGATGATTGATACTATCAGAGGAGGAATAAAGAAACTACTGCTGGGTATGGATTACATGACAACCATTGGAAAGAAGTTTAAGGAGTTTGAGAAAGCAGAAGCAAGTCAATACATGTCCTTGCTTACTACATACAAAATTGAGGGCACTGGCTCCATAAAGGATCATATAATGAAGATGACAGATGCTGCTGAGAAATTGAATTCCATATATGTAAACATCGGTGAGAAGCAGCTTGTGTTCATGATTCTTCAAGCCCTTCCTACTAAGTACAGTTAGTTAAAAGTCTCATACAACACACAAGATAACAGTTGGGATATAGATGAACTGATTGCACAATGTGTGCAAGAGGAAACTCGGCAAAAGTAGGAGAAAGGCAAGGAGATTGAGGAAGTAAACTTTGTGCAATTTGGAAAAGAGAAGAAACCATTCAACAATGGGGGTTCTTCTAGTCCTAAAAAGAATTCTAAATTCTCTAAGAATTCTAATAGGTTCAATGCGTCTGCTAAAGTGAATGACTCCCCTAGAAAATATATCAAATTTAAAGCTAAACCTCAAGATGTGAATAAACTTAAGTGTTTTTGGTGTAAAACTAAGGGTCATTTAAAAGTCAATTGTGAAAATTTTAAAGATATTTTAAAGAGCAAAGAAAAAGAACAAGTACTTGTCTGAGTTGAATCAAATCTTTGTGAAGTACCTGTTGATTCTTAGTGGTTTGACACTGGATGTTCAGTGCATATTACTAACTCTTTAGAAGGTTTTCAAAAATAATAGGAAATTGGAAATGATTTATATAATGTTTTTGTTGGGGAAGGGACTAAAGTTACAGTAGATTCAATTGGGATTGTAAAATTAAAATTGACTTCTAGTTTTGTTTTGGAGTTGAAGGATGTGTTATATGTGCCTAAGATGAGAAGGAACCTAATTTTTGCTTCTAAAATTGTAAAAGATGGTCTCTCTTTTCTTGCTCATGAAGTGTGTTTAAAAATCTTTAACAAAAACTGTCTTGACACTATTTTAGGAACTGCTTTCTTGTCTGATAATTTGTGGCATCTTGAATGCACTGTTCAGATACTAAATCACTCAGTTTTAAATATTTGTACCAAACGAATACTTGAGTAAGACACTTCATACATTCCCTGGCAGAAAAGACTAGGAAACATCTCAAAGGAAAGGATAATTAAACTTTCAAAAGCTGAATTGATTCCAAAATTAGATCTCACTACTGCAACTATACGTGTTGACTACTTAAAAGGTAAAATGACTAATTTTAGGAAATTAGATGCCAAAAAGAGTCAGGGATTACTTGAAATTATACACACTGATATCTGTGATCCTTTTCCAGTCAAAACAATACGTGGAAACAAGTATTTTATCAACTTTATAGATGATTTTTCTAGACTTGGATACACTTTTCTCATTAGTGAGAAAGCTGATGCCCTAAAGTGCTTTATAATTTATAAAATTGAGGCTGAAAAACAATTAGATAGGGTTATTAAAATTGTTAGATCCAATAGGGGAGGATAATACATTGGCAGGTACACTGAATCAAGGGAACAAAACGGACCATTTGCACTCTATTTGGAGAAAAATGGTATTGTAGCTCAATATACAACACCTAGGTCACCTCATCAAAATGGAGTCTCAGATAGAAGAAATAGGACCCTTATTAGTGTGGTTAGAAGCATGATGACAAGGTCCAAGTTACTAGGTTTCTTGTGGGGAGAAGATTTGAAAACTGCAAATTACATTCTAAATAGAGTTCCAAGTAAATATGTTTCTTCCACACCTTTTGAGCTATGGCATGGCAGGGCACCTAGTTTTCAATACTTTCATGTTTGGGGCTGCAAAGCTGAATCCGGATTCTATAATCCAAATGAAAAAAAGTTGGATTCAAGAACTCAGTCACGTTACTTCATAGGTTATCCTAAAAAATTGAAAGGGTATAGGTTCTATGTTTCTCAAGGCCATATTCGAATTCAAGAAACACACAATGCAACCTTCTTGGAAGATCAAGATGTTTCAAACCTATCAAGGGAATTTATAAAGAGTTGGTTCAAGCTTCTGAAAACACTGGACAAATAATTTACATTAAGTATTGTTATTTCCTAAACCAAGGTCAACTGAAATAGAAAACTTAAATGCATAATTGTTTCTGGCACTGAGAATATTATGGAGATAGATCCAGTTGCAACATTTTCTGATAATGTCACTGAATCACATCAACAAGTACCAAATGAAGTGACATCACATTTTGAGTCAAGGAAGTCAACCAGAGTTCGAAAGTCAATAGTTGTGAGTGATTATGTTTATTTACAAGAAATCGATTTTGACATAGGTGATGTTGATAATCGTCTTTCATACACTCAGGCCATGGGAAGTTCTCAATTAATTTTATGGCAGAATGTAATGAAGGATGAGCTAGATTCAATGTTCAAGAACAATGTTTGGACACTTGTGGAGTCTAGTTCTCAAATTAAGCCTATAGGTTGCAAGTGGGTGTATAAAACCAAAAGAGATGCTATTGGAATTGAGAGATTCAAAGCCCAGTTAGTTGCAAAGGGTTTTACTCAGAGAGAAGGTATTGATTACAATGATACTTTTTCTTCAGTATCTTCTAAAGATTCAATGAGAGTTATCATGTCTTTGGCTGCATATTTTGATTTGGAGTTGCATCAAATGGATGTCAAAATGACTTTCTTAGTAAAGACCTAGAAGAGAGCATTTACATGAAGCAATGAACTGGATTTGTTAAAAAGAGGAAGGAAAATATGGTTTGCAGGCTCAATAAGTCAATATATGGGTTAAAGTAAGCTTCTAGACAGTGGTATTTGAAATTTGTCCAAATTGTTTCTTCACAGGGGTTTGAACAAAACAAATTCTATGATTGCATTTACATTAAGTTTTATGGTTCAAAGTTTATCTTTTTGATACTTTATGTTGACAATATCCTTTTAGCAAGTTCTTGTCCTCAATTGTTACATAGTACTAAAAAGATGCTCAGTGAGAATTTTGAAATGAAGGATCTAGGAGAGGCACACTATGTGTTGGAAATTGAGATCATTCGTGGTAGACAGAGGAGACTACTTGGTTTATCACAAAGAGGTTACATAATAGATTATTGCTTTGATTCAATATGGAGAGTTGTAATAGTGGCTAGGTTCCAGTCCACAAGGGAGATAAATTTTCAAGAAATCAATGTCCAAATACTGATTTGGAGATTAAGAAAATGCAATCCAAACCTTATGCTTCTCTGGTAGGAAGCCTCATGTATGCAACCATTTTTACAAGGCCAGATATTGCTTTTATTGTAGGTATGTTGGCAAGGTTTCAAGCAAATACAAGAGAAGCACATTGGATATCTGCTAAGAAGGATTTAAGATACTTATAGAGAACCAAGAGTTTCATGTTGGTTTATGGCAGAAGTGAGTCTTTGGAACTTGAGGGGTATACTGACTCGGATTTGGCTGGTGATGTGGATGATAGAAATTCAATAGGTGGTTACATATTTATGTTAAATGGCGGTGCAATTTCTTGGAAAAGTGCAAAACAGACTATTATTGCTACTTCGACGATGGAGGCTGAATTTGTAGCTTGTTTTGAAGGAATGAAGCAAGCAGCTTGGTTGAAAAATTTTATGACAGAATTGAAGATCATAAACTCAGTTCAAAAACCTGTAAGAATATATTGTGATAATAACTCAGTTGTGTTCTTTGCAAAGAATAACAAAAGAACTTCAGCTTCAGGGCTGATGGATGTGAAATTTCTTAAAGTTAGAAAACAAGTTGAATAAAAGGCAGTAATTGAAGTGCAATATATTAGTACAGTCTTGATGCTTGCTGATCCATTAACTGACAGGAGCATATTTATGCTACTTATCTATGTTGTTTCCTTGCATTTAGTTAGCTAACTAGTACTTATTATAGTCTTTTAAACTATTTTCGTATGCTTTTAGGTCCTAATGGCAAAAGGAGCAAGAAAGTGCATTTTGGAGCTATTTTGAGCAGTTTTGGGCATGGATTGGATAGCTTAACTATGGAGCAAACTGGATGGACGAAATTGAAGTCAAGAGAGGCTAGGAAGGGTTACAAATCTGGAGAAAGAAGTTCAAAAACAAAGAGGATAAGGAAAAAGCAAGAAATAAGGAACATTATCCAACCTTATCCTATCCAACCTTATCCTATCCAATCTTATCTTATCCTATCCTAATCTTTTGCTACCTTAATTCCAGCTGCAAAAAGGACTTAATTTGACATTAGAACACCTAAATATATGGTTCTAGAAGACCCTATCTCCTCCTAAATAGGTGCCGCGCCCTTTATCCCTTCTAAAAGTCCAATTTCTGCCACAAAACACATTGTTTCTAGAAACCCTACAAAAGTGGTGCCTCCCCCTCTTCTAGAAGCTCTAGAATCTGCAATCCTTTTCCCTTTCTTCCTTGGTCTTTGCCGTGGAATCCTAGTCCTTTTACCCTAGGATTGTGCAAACCTTTTCCCACCTAATTTCTACCACACCCTAATCTGATTTCCCCAAGGTTTAACCCTATAAATACAAGTGTTTGCCGCACCATTCAAAGCATCCATTCACTCATTCATTCATTCATACATTCAGCCATCAAACACCATAATTCACACCACATCACCCTAGTGCCGCAAGCAAGGAAGGAAGGAGAAGAAGACTAGTGCAATTTGCCATCCAATGAGGGTTCAAAATCTGCCATTGGAGTGTGGAGTGTTTCTAGGTGTATTCTATCCTTAGTTTTAGTTTAATGTTTATATTAATTTCGTTTGCAATTATGATGAACATGTGGAACTAATTTCTTTTTAGTTAGAGGTGAATTCGAAGCCATGATTATATGTTTTATATGAATTGATTATATCTAGTTATTGTTTCTTGAGTCTTGAATGTGATTTTCTTATCTCAGTTATCAAAACTTGTTGATGTATGTTGGTTGAGGGTCGACACTCAATTTGCATGTATGAATTTGATGCTAGAGTATAAGGGAGTTTCACGTAATGGTTATTCACTTATATTCACAAGTAGTGGAGGTTGCTAGTCACAATCATGTTAAGTAAATCCTTGGCATGAGTCTCATGCGTTTCATAGTGATGAATGCCTAGTCAATGCTTATGATTTTCATAGAACTTAATGACTTTTGACATGTATCTCTATCATGCGTTTCATATAGGGAACTTGAGAAAGATAATTTGGTTGCGATGCGTATTCCATCTAATTCAATGAAATAAGGAAAATCTGATGGTTAGTTGTGCGATGCAACT